TTCAACAAATTACTAGTCAACTATTTCTCAAACACCCAATCCATTCTTGAAATGCAGTTTACATAAGCTAAATTTACATTGGATTGTTGGGTAGACTACTGAAGAACAATGAATATTTTTGGTGTGAGCTTATGATGCTGGTAAAAAAAAAAGACTATCTTATGGTGTTCTTTGTAAAATGAAACAATTATTATACTTTTCTTAAGTTTTTACTTGTTGCCTTATTATAATGATCTCATTTGGTTCATAACCTGAATAACCTTTACAGAAAGAGTTTGGTTTATAGGTTATTTTTTATCACTAATTTCTGTGTTAACTGTTTTATTCAGCTTAAAGCTCAAAATGATCGAGAAACACAAAGTATGGATATCATATTTACTGAAAGACAAGCGTAAGTTCAACCTATTTAAAAGTCAAACAGATTCGTAAGTAAGTTTTAGTAAGTAGTTTAACTTTTGAGTCATTTATTTTCTTAAAAAATTAAATGTTTTTCTCCTATTGCATTTTTAAATTTAAAATAGATATTTGTAATAGAAATTTTGTTGTTCATAAATGGCTAAATTCTATACAAAAAGAATGACTGTGTACATCATATAAATATAATTTCTGCTTCTGGAACTTTATATCTAAGATCAATAAGGGTGTCTTCATATTCCTATTTACCATATTATGATTTTAACCTATGCTTTTAACTGATTTGAATTGTGATATTTTAGCCACATTGTAGTGAAAGACATTATTAGTAACTATTTGCATTATCTTATTAGTATTGATAATAGTTATATTAGTATTCTGTATCCTATCTGTAAGGAATATGTGGGTTGTGACATATAACCTGTCTATAAACACTACACACTAATTAGCTTTGATTGTGCGAAGAAAATGAGGAAATGTAATGTAGTTAAAATAATTATATTTCATCAATTTTTACCTTAATTAAATACTGTATATGGCAACATAAGCATAAAAGGTGAGCTATATTGTATAAGCACATGTAAGCACATGCTGGCCCAGAAAAATGAATATTAATCTTTGAGAGTAAGGATAATTATTAAACAAAGATTACTGAAATTCAGTAATACCAAATAAACTGTCATTACTTCTGCATAAACACTGAATATTTGATGAAGAATCAAATGTTACAATGTAGTAATGAAATATTTGAAAGATAAATATAATTCCTCTGTTGATTAAAAACAGAGGGCTCCCCTTTTCTCCTATCATTTGATGCTGCTATTACAGTACTTTTTTTTTTTTAAATATTGACTGTCACTTTCCTTATATAAAGAAAATTCCGTCCTTAGAGATTAAGCTCTTACTTGAAAGTTTGTTCCCTCCCTCCCTCCCTCCCTTCCCTCCTCTCTTTTTTCCTTTCCTTCCTTCTTTCTTGGTTTGAACGCATTTAGGGAATATTTATCACCTGTTATATACAAGATTCTTTGCTAATTGCCTAAAAAATAAGAAATATATAAGCTGTAATCCACTGAAGACTTTAAAAGAGTTTAGGACATTTGGATATCCATTTATTTCATTATTTCAAAAGGTATGCAATACCCATGTTAGATTTATAAATATTATATGTACATGTTTTATAGACAATGCATCCAAAAGCATATTCCCATATTATAAGTTTGATAGTATCATAGATTGTTACAGATTTTTATGTCTGTCTGGTTCATTTGATTAAAGAAAAATTCTTAAAATTTGTCTCTGAAGATGTGGGCAACATTTCAATAGCACAAGGATCTATCTTGACACCACGCATTCTGAGGTACCAGCAAATGTCGTACCTTGAGAAAGCAGGTGGAAGAGCTTCTGCTTTCACTCTTTTCTTTTAGTGTGATCATTTAGTGTGATATGATCATCTGGTTTATTATGGAAAACCTGTTCATAATAAGCTAGTTATAATACACAGCCTCAATACACTACTACAACATCAATGTTTAGATACCTGACTTCTATTCAACTGATGTAAGTTAATAATTCTCTTCCAATTCTGATGTCTACACTTTATAGTTTGGTATTAGTCAACATCAGTTGTCCTTTAAATGAATGTAATTATAATTTTATACCCATTCATTTCTTTTTATTTGATCAGATATTTATTGAACCCCAATATACAAATAAGAGCTTAATGAATATAAGAAATTAGATGTAGTCTTTGATCATTTGATTTCATTGTACTGTATTTCTTATAAATTAATATTTGCATCTTTATAATTAGGAAGTAATACTTTCAAAGAATGATAGATTGTTTGGGAAAAGATACCTCATGTTCCTATTAAAATTGAGACATTGTAGGCTGGAGGATTATGAGTTCAAGGCCATCCTGGACTACATCATGAGATTGAGGCCATCCTGGACTATACAGGAAGACTCTGACCCAGGACCAAGGAATGCCTCAAGCTGTCAGATTTCATTCTAAAATCCCAAATAGCCTATCCTCTGGGCCAGTGATTAAGATAATGGCCCTGTATCCTTATAGAACCTACTCCCCATATCAAGGTTAAAGCTGGAAGGGCAGAGAGGATCACATGTGCGTTATATGAGTTCCCACACGCAGGCAGCCTCCGTACAGTGACCAGAACATTTGGAGAGGGCCAAAAGTGGAGAGCCCTCATTTCGCACTACTGATACCCAACCCTAGTTCAGCTTACCTGAATTGCCCACTTTACTCCTTGAGGTGTAATTCTGCTTTGCTTACAAATCACTCTTTACTAAAGTAAATAAAGACTTAAAACAATATAGATTTGATAATATTAGACATAAAATACTCATATCCTTGATGTTTCTATAAATTCAGGCAAATACGCATTATAAATGTGAATCAGTTTTTCTGTTTCACAGAGTATGTCATCCTAAATAGTTTCCCTCAGGCAGTTTAACTAAATTTACTATTTATGTATCTTTTTAAATGACTTCTGCAGGTTATGACAAGGTCTACATTATTTTTAAGTCTCTCTTTTTATAAGAAATTATCAAGCATGTACCCATTTTAAAATTTACTATAGAGAAATTAGAACATACACAAAAATAGCATATTGCACCCTATATCCCTATTTCCCAATTCTGTCAACACATATCCAACTGTGTTCCATCCACAACTCTACTGCTGTTACTTTCCATGTATTTTGAAGAAAAGAATCACATACTATATCATCCATAAGTACATTAGTATATATCAGTATTTTATAGGTATCCTTATCTCTAAATGATATACACTTAATTTCCCCAAATAAAGAGTAAAAATTACAGATTGCCCTACAGAGGTTTTCTTTCTCTTTGTTCCTTTCCTTTCTTCTTTTTTTTGGTGATATTGGTGTTTGAACTCAGGGCTTCGTGCTTGCAAAGCAGACGCTCTACTGCTTGAGCCATACCTCCAACCATTTTGCTCTGGTTATTTTGGGGATGGGATTCTTGCAAGATATTTTCCTGTGCTGCCCTTGAACTGCCATCCTCCCTGTCTCAGCCTTCCAAGTAGCTAGGATTGCAGATGTGAGCCACCAATATCCAGCTATATTACAGTTTCTGATTTCACTGTTTGCATTAATAAGTCACTAAAACTGTTTGCAGCCAGTTGAATATAAGGGGATTGGCAAATATTCATGTTGATTGTCCCTTCATTCATGTTGACTGTGTCCCTGCACAGTCTTAGGGCTTTTCCGCAGAACTGTGAACTCTTAGTAGGTATACCTCTGAGAAAGTGTTTGTTCTCAAGTAAGTTCGATTTTGTTTTTTTTGGTGGTGCTGGGATTGAACTCAGGGCCTTGTACATGCTAGGCAAGTGTGCTCCTGAAAACTTAATACTTTGCTCTTGAATAATCAGAGAATAGGTTTACTTAATAAAGTCTCAGATAATAAAAGAATCTTAGCTTACTTTATTTAAACTCAGTGTTTCCTGTGGTAATTTGACCAAGTACCTTTTTCTTTTCTTGTAAATACTTCTGAAAGTCTCTCTGGAAATTACTGTTCTAGAATGCAATCTGGGAAACTTGTCTGCATTTTTTAGGTTGCAAATAGCTGTCCTTAGGCCACTTAAAAGATTCCTTAGCCTCAGCACAGACCCATTTGAACAGTAATCTTCCAGAAAGAGGCAGAAATGTGCATTATTCTGATACAAATTTCATAAGCTGGACATGGTGGTCCCAGCACCATGGAGGTTGAGGCAGGAAGATCATGAATTTGAGGCCAGTCTGGGCTACCTTAGTGAGTTCAAGGCCAATCAGGATTATATAGCAATACCCTGTCAAAAAAAATTAGTAAATAATTGTGAAGCCCACTTGGAAGCCACCATGATACTAAATTGTGATGATCATACATGATGGTAAGAGACTGCTCTTATGACCAAAATCATTAGTATTTATTAGGGATTATGCCTGGAGACTGCCTCTGCTTTAAATTGCTACCAGGTTTTGAGGGACATTTGTTTTGCTTATTCAGGAAGCATTAAAATGTTTTTCTAATTATATGAATTCACTCTATGAGCATTAAATCCCATCTTACTATATAGTTGAAGTTATCACTGTTTCTCATGATACACATTTGACTCAGGATATAAATTCAAAACCATTATTTCTTTATAATCAATAACTTTAGTAACATTTATTGCATATTATATAACAAACGTGTGGTATTATGAGAATCTGTTCATTTTAGTTAACGAATAATTTAGGGTTTCTTTTTTTTTTTTAGTTTGTTTTTTCTTTTTTTTTTTTTTAGGGTTTCTTTTTACTAGTCTGTATGACCTCATGAATACTGCTGAGAATAGTAATACTACAATTATAGATTAATTATGTAACCATTAGCTAGCCAGAGTGATAGTTACTGCATTTAGACCTGCTTGCTCAACACACAAAAAATATAATTTTATGATATTTATATATAGTACTAAATATTAACATGAAGGTCTACTAGCTGTGGTTTGGTTTGTCATATAAAATCTCCTTGTATAAGCTGTGAGTAGGCTGATAATACGTTTTCAAAATTCAAACATTTAAAAATTATTTTTCTTCACATAGTTCATGTGTATCTATATATTTATCTTCAATAAACCCATCATCATCTACCACAAATGAATGTAACTGTTCAAATATTACTGTCGTGTCTTCAGAGTTTATATCTGGTATCTGTGAAGAAGAACTTGTATTTCCTGTAAAGCTATCTTCATAGGTTTCTGCTTCATGCTCTTCCAGGCGATGATGATTATAACTAAGCAGAAAATTGTACCATATTGGGCATTTGATAGCAAGAAAGATGAGGAGTGAAGTCATCAGTACAGTGACAACAACACCAACAAGGAAAGCCCAACTTTTCCCAAGAGGTTCATGTTCTTAAATGGAAGAGAGAGAGATTTTGTTAGATTCACAAAAACAAAATAATCATAATCCCATGTCCCATAACTCTCCAATGTTGGTATTAGAAATGAATTTTTTAGGTAAAAATTACTAATACACTAAATAAAAGTATTTCATAGTGTGATGAAAGAATATCTTTTTCCAAAGTAACTACAGGTTGAGCATCCCTAATCTGAAAACCCAAAATGTTCTAAAATCTGAAACTTTTTGAACAACAATGTGATTCCAGAAATGGAAAAGTCCATACCTAATCTCATATTATAGGTCACAATCAAAGACATGTGCAATAAAAATATTTTATTTATTTTTTTTTCTTTCTTTTTTCTTTTATTCATATGTGCATACAATGTTTGGGTCATTTCTCCCCCTTTCCCCCGCCCCAATAAAAATATTTTATAAAATTATCTTCAGGTGTTTTTTTGAAACAAATGAGCTTCGTGGTTAGAGTTGATTCTTATTTCATTATGTATATGCAAATACTCCAAAAAATTCAAAATCCAGAACACTTCTGGTCCTAAGTATTTCAGGTAAGGAATACTCAATCTGTATCTGCCTTTGCAGGTATTGTTACCCATTCACATAAGACTGTTACTAATTTATACTCAGAGTTTTGTTCTGGCTGGGCACAGTGGCACATACCCATAATCCCAGTTATTCAGGAGGCAGAGATTGGGAGAATCACAGTTCTGAGCCAGCCTGGAGTAAAAAGTTAGCAGTACCCCGTCTCAACCAACAAGCCAGGCATAGTGACATGTGCGCCTACCTATGCTCTTTGCAGGATGCGTAGGTAGGATGAGTGTGGCCCTGGGTAAAAGCATGAGACTCTATCCAAAAAATAACTATAGCAAAAAGGGCTGGGTGCATGGCTTAAGTGGTAAAACACCTGCCAGCAAGTGAGTTCAAACTCCAGTGCCTCAAAAAAAAAAAAAAAAAAAGTCTTGACTTGTTAAAATGAATGCTCAAGAAGTTAAATAATGCATATTGGTATCTGGATGATAACAACCTAGGTTGGAATTCCAATATTTTGTAAATCTTTTATTGAGATGAGGAATTGTTCTTTCACATTGTTCATAAAAATTCAAACTGGAGAAAGATAAAGAGAATCACCCAGGTCTATTTAGTATGATACCTTCAATATTGGTATTCCAAATAAGTAAATTACCTGAATTTCTTGTCACGTTGTTTAAAGAGCTATCAAAAGTTGAATTGCTAATGGACCGAAAATTAACATAAAAATCTTCAGTTACAGATGAAATTAGTGTTGAGTGGCATTCAGGAGCAAAGGGTACTGTCTTGATGTTGTAGCACTTCAGGCTATCTGGGTAGTTACACATGGTGATGTTCTCTTTTTCTAAGAAATAAGAAGGAATACGTAAGATTCATAACAAGTAAGAGTGGTTAATGTATAATTCTATGTAGAATTTTTGACATGTTTGTCTCATTGCTGAGGACATTATAAGAAGCTTTTGATGTGTTTGCATAGCAATATAATGAGGAATGATGTACATTCCTGCTAAGTTATTTTGCAAATGCAGCTTTAATGCAGTATCTGTTTATTGTTCAGCTTATCTATGTTATAAGGATTTTATGATTAAGATTATAGGTAAGGGGTGGGAGTTAATGGGATAAGGGAGAGTAATGGAAGGGGTTGAATGGACCAAAGTAAAATATTCCTACACTGGGCATAGATTGAAACACCCCTTTGGACATCAACTTAAATATTAATAACTAAATTCAGGACTGTAAAATAGCTACAGTGTTGTGGGGGGAGTTACTAGTGGGAGGGGGAGGGTGAAGGAAGGAGATTAAGGTGATGGTATGTAGTAGACAGACTTCATATACCTATATGAAACAGAACTAAGAAACCTCTTGCAATTGCTTTAAGTGGGGTGGGGTGGGGGTTGAGAGGGAGAGACGATGGGGGCAATTACAATATAAGTCTGATCAGAATTGTCACTATGAATCCCTCCTATATAATGAATATATCCTAATAAAAATTTATTAAAACATTTTTAAAAAAGATTATAGGTAAGGCCAGGCATGGTGTCTCAGACCTAAAATCCTAGCTACTCAGAAGGCAGAGATTGGGAGGATCATGGTTCGTGACCAACATGGGCAAAAAGTTCATGAGACCCCAACTTAGCCAATGGCTGTGTTCAGTGGCATGTGCCTGTCATCCCAACCACATGGGGAAGCAAAAATAAGATCAAAGCCAGACATGAAGTGAGATCCCACCTCAAAAATAACCAAAGCAGCCGGCTGCTGTGGTGCATGCCTGTAATCACAGCTTGGAAGGGTGAGATGAGGAGGATCAAAGTTTGAGGTCAGCCTGAGCAAATAGTTCACAAGACCTCTATCTCAACCAATAGCTGGGTGTGGTGGCACACATCTGTCATCCCAACAATGGCGAGAAGCATAAAGGAGGATCGGGGTCCAGGCTGGCCTGGGCAAAAAGCCATACCCTATCTCCAAAATAACCAGAGCAAAAAAAGACATGGCTTGAACAGTAGAGCCCCTGCCTAGCAAGCATGAAGCTCAAGTTCAAACCCCAGTACCACCAAAAAAAAAAAAGAAAAAAATTGTTAAAATCTGGATCTCAAGTAGGGTATGATTTGTAGTTAAAATAAGGTACCTGTTGTTACCTACTCTGACAGATATAGGAAGCACTAGAGGATGAAAAACTAGTCATATATTGATTTTTGCAGTGCATACTTTGTATTCACGAAGTGATATATCACATATATATTTAAATTTCTTTTTTTTCTGAGATGAGGGGAAGGAGAGCATCTATTCAGCTGTTACTTTTTACTGTTTCTTCCTGTTTTCCTTTAACGGAAATAGTTTAGTTTTCTTTGTCATTTTGCTGTGCTGGAGACCAAATCCAGGGCCTCATGCCTGGTAGGTAGGTAAGCACTCTATCACTGAGTTATAACCCCAGCCCAAATAGTTTACTTAAAAACAAAACAAAAAAAGCATGAAATGAGAGATTTTCACGGGTGGGTCAACAAAAGTAAACCACATTTAAAAAATTAAATTGATGCCTTACCTAGTATCACATTTGATGTATTCAACCAGTTCTGTAAATTGAATAGTCTACAAGTGCAGTTCCATGGATTTCCATATAAAGTTATTATTTCCAGATGAAATAGTTGTGGTACATCAAAGTAGCTTATGAAATTGCCTTGCAGATTCAGAAGTTTCAGGTTGTTTAGAGGCACAAACATGTCAGGATTCAGGTGTATTATTTTGTTTTGGCAGATATATAACTGTTTTAGTTTATTTAAGCCTATAAATGCATCCTGTTGAATTACACTGATGGGATTTCTACAGATATTTAAGATTTCTAGGCTGGAAAGATTACTGAAACTATTATCATGTAAGATAAGGATTTTGTTCTCATTCAAATAGAGCTCAGTGAGTAAAAAATACATCTGTAGCACTCTCGTATCTGCAATGTTGAGAGTAATTTGGTTATAACTGAGATCAAGAATAGTAATATTGTTACTGATATCCTCTGGAATCAAAGAATAATTCTTTTCAGTGAAATTAACCTTGACTTCCTAAAAAAGAAAAAAAATTAGAGATACATTGAACAAGAAAATACAAAACAAGTGTTTGTCAAAACTTATCTAAGTATTTAAACATTGGAAGGCAATCATTTTGGAAAAAAGTCTAATTTTTTGATGGTTACATGTGAAAAAGGTAGAAAAAATGTTTTTCTTTATTGGAATGGATATTGCAGATTAAGGAAATTCTGATATAATCAAACACAGAAATTTAGTTTTTATACAAATATCTTCCAACAGTTATTACATAATTATTAGAGAAAGAAGGAATATTCATATATTCCTATTTATATACATAGAAATACAAGATGAATAATAATTTTGTTAATTTATGTTGTTGGTCATGGTGATACATGCCTGTAATCCCAGCACTAAGATTGAAGCAGGAGGATTGCAAGTTCAAGGTCAGCATCGTCTCAAAAAACCCCAAAAGTTTATTTAATATTCCAGTGCGCAAGATAGACGTTTATGGGGAAATTATTTTAATATATATCATTTTTAAGTCAGTTGGAGGTAGCAACTCATATCTGGGTTATTGAATAATTAAAACATAATAAATTGTTGGGTTAACAGCTCAAAAGCTTGGTATTTTAAAAAGTAATATTTGTCTTATATCAGAAATTGACCCATGATCGAATTTAGTGAGTCACACAACGTGAAGTGCTTTCCTTAGGTAGATACAGATTCAAAGAAACAATTCTTGTTTTGACTGTCTCTGTAGTTGAAATAATAATAATAATTATGTGACTATAATAATTTCTCCCTAAATAAGTGAATTTCTAAAAACTTCTCTACATTTTATTATTTTTATTAGTATTACTATGTTTGGCTTCTTTGAGATGGGGTCTTAGCATGTTCTCCAGGCTGGCCTGAAGCTCCCAATCTTCCTGACTCAGACTCCTGAGTGCTGGATTACAGAAGTGTATACCTGGCTTAGTTTCCTATTTTTCCCCATCCTCCTGATCATATCCCAAGTAGCTAGGATTACAGATGGCAACCATCACACAAAGCTCAGTTTCATATATATATATATTTTTCAGTTTCGCATATATATATATATGTGAATATATATATATGAATATATATATGAATATATTATATATACGTATATATATTTGTATATTTTTTTTTAGTGTAACTGGGGTTTGAACTCAGGGATTTGTACTTGCAAAGTAGGTACTCTACCACTTGAGTCACACCTCCAGTCCATTTTTGCTTTGGTTATTTGGAGATGAGCTCTTGTAAACTATTTCCTGGGCTGGCCTCAAACCACGATCCTCCCCAATCTCAGCCTCCTAGGTAGCTAGGATTAGAGGTGTGAGCCACTGGCACCCTGCAAAGTTTCCTGTATTTTAAACTATGTTGTTTTTTTTTTAATTTCTTGGAACTATTCTCTAATTTTCTAGTGAAAAGTTCAAATTTCTCCTTGAATCAGATTTTAAAGAACTCACTTAGCAGCAGTAGACTGCTTTTGTTAAATTAGGACTTGCCTCACAGATTGTAGATTTTGAGTATACACAGATGAGTAAGGGGCTTTCAGAGGCTTGCATTGTGGCTTATACATATAAATCCCAGCTACTCAGGATGTGGAGACAGGAAAGTTTGAAGCTAGTCTATGCAAAAGTTAGCTATTCCCCGTCTAAAAGAAGAAGCTGGCCATGGTGGTGCATGCCTGTGGTCTCAGCTACTGGGGAGGTGGAGGTAGTTTGGGGCCAGCCAGAACAGAGTTAGTGAGAAACCCTGTCAGACAAACTTGAAGCAAAAAAGGACTGAGGATACGACTCAAGTGGTAGAGTACTCTCAAGGTCCTGAGGTCAATCCCCAGTACCACACACACAAAACAAGGATTTTCTTTTTGCATTTTGTTTTTAGTTTTCCTGCCTTTGTATATTTTATTAGAGCAACAGAAAGTGTACCTTTGAAAACATTTTCACTATCTTGTTGGTAAAAACTTACTGTTTTAGAAGTCTGGCTTTTTTCAGATAATAATAGCATGAAGAAGGGCCAAAACAAGATCGTGACACATATGATTTTCATATTTCAGGCCTGATAGAAAAGAGAGTATTTTCATCTCAATAGGTGACTACAACTGTAGACATTATTGAGGACCTGTTGATTTTCTTTCCCTTTTAAGCCTTATTTTTTCTTAAAATACATAAAATGTGAAAAGAGCACATTATCTTTTACTATCCGGCACTTAACTAGAAAACCCCTATGAAAAATGAGAGAATCTTTATTTTCTTGGATATCTCATATTTTTTGGTTCTATTGAAAGGAGCATTAAAACAATTAAAGTGGTTATAGATGAAAAAATGTTTATGAGTTCACAAAAGAAAGCCCAGATGAATATATATTTGTGTATCTATGCATGTTTAAGATTATACTTATATTGCTACTTCTGGATTTTTCAGTTTTAGGTTTTATGTATTGATACTATCCATTGACTTACAGCTATAGGAGATGAAATCTTTAGCTTTCTTTCATACTCTTCATACCTTAATCTCTAATACATCAAACATGTAACACACAGTTAACTTGTAATTTTGGTTAGATGAATATTCAGTGCTAATGTTATCACAAATGTATATGAGCTATCAATTACTAAGCCAATATTCATCTAACCTTGATCCCTATAGTTCTACAAATAGAAGTGGGATTTTTTTTTAAATGGTGAAGATTATCAACATGGATTTCAATGGAATAATGCAGAAAATTTCCAAGCAATGAGGGCTATAGCTTCTAGATTGAAAGGGACAACCAATACATAGCTGAACTGATAAAAGACAGGATAATGACATCTAAGAATACTGATTTTAGACGCTTTAATGGTTAGGCAGGGATAAGTTACATAAGATGAATTAGAATGATGTAGAAACTAAAACCTAAAGACAATGGGGCAATGGACAACATTTTGAGGGAAAATTATTTCCTATCTAGAATCCAATTTCTAGCCAAACTATATTCCAGGGTTTAAAAAATAATCCTCTCTTATGGACCTTCTCAAGAAGTTATGAAGCACCACTGAAACAAGGCAATAAACCAAGACAAGCACGTTCTAGAAAACAGGAATTCAGCAATGAAAGCAAAAAGAATCTCTGCAATGAGGGCAGGAACAACACTCGCATAGACAGAAGGCCTATTGATCAGCATCTCTAGATACAGCAGAGCAGCAGGTTCAAGGAGAGACTTTCTAAAGTAGATTAAATACTTTCATTAACTTTGGAGAAATCTGCTGTGGGAGAGCATGGGAATTACATTCTTTGGGGAAAAAAATGGAAATAAGCATATGAAAGACAGCCTGATTAATTTAGAGAAGAAAACAGTGTGAAACAATAGGAAAAGTAATATTTTATCTTTGCTCTTCTGTGTTTCCCTCTGTGTGTTTTTGGTCCACATCTCTAAAGACATTCTCAACTTTATCTTCATACAATTACTGAATTTTTCTTTTTCCTGTATCTTTTTAATGATTGACCTTTTGTTTTGGTAGTTTTGTGGTTAGAACTCAGGGCCTTGTGCTTGCAAGGCAGGTGCGCTGCCACTTGAGCTACTCTGCCAGCCCTTCCTATATCTTTTTAATTTTATGACCTCTTTTTTGTTCTCTGAATATGCTGCTCTCTTGTGTCCCCAGGTTGTACTTTTCTAGTTTATTAGAGGCTTTCTTTGTATATTTGTTAATGTTTTGTTTTGGGTTTATGTAGAAGAGTACAGAACCAATAAGCTGATAGGGAACTGTGTGTTTGTATGGTTCTCATTGACTCTAGACCTTAATGTAGCATAAATTTGCGGGACTGGTTTTGTGGGAATCCTTTTTTCTTGGGCCCTTTACTTTCCACAAAATGACTTTTAATCTACTGCCTGAACAAGCAAAGCACATGGCCATCATTCTAAGAACTCAGTGATGAAAAAAAGATGGGTTTATATTAGTATTTAGTACATAAACTTTAACTTAATCTCAACACTGCCCACATACTTACTGTGCTTCGTGTCCAGATTGTCTTTGTTTTGTTCACCCCATGGGAGGGTTCTCTTAATCTTCTCACATGGGGGAAGAACATTATCTGGCAGGAGAGAGGCAGGGAGGAATTAGCCCCTTCTCCTCTGCTTCCAAAATACCTGGCATTACTAATTTCACTTATTTAGAGTTCCTGCAGTATAAATCAGCTTTTTCCATTGCTGATTTGGCAAATCAGTTCCATTCAACTATCATCTTTTTTGGTTTCTAAGTTTTATTATTATTATTACCTCCTCTCCCTTTTCTTTCTGTCCTATGTTTTTATATTCCTTTTTGTCTTTTATTTTCATTTTAGTCCAGTATTAAGCAGGAGTCAAAGTTAATGGGTGCATTTGATCTGCTACTTTTTATATAGAAATTGCTGATTACTGGAGAATACTCTTAGTGAATACTTTCGACTTAATCATTTTATTCATGACCTTCATATTTCTTATTCTCTACCTGTGTTTATTCAGTTGATGTGGAAACCCTTCTGCAAACAGATGATCTGATTGAAAGGGATGAATGTAGCCTGTAGTTTTAAAGGGTTTTTTAAAATTTATTCTTTTGAGACTTCTTACAGCATTTGTTACAGTTAGTTATTTATGATTTTTAAAGGAAAGTTTATTGCATCAGAGCAGGAAGAAAAAACCTAACCAGTGAGAAGATTAAAAACTTAATGTCTGTTGGCTCCTTTAGTAATAGGAATTACTGTTTCAATGCTGCCCTCTTCTGGTCACCTTCCTCATTGCCTTCAATTTGGTGATCTGTTTAATCTTATTCCTCCTCTGCTTTCTCTTTCCGTAGTAGTTAAATTTGTTAGAAAAAGCTGCTCTGCCTCCTAGATTTAATACAACTTGATTATAGATCATAATAGAACCCCTTTTAGTGCCAGAAATGAATTGAAACTATCACTTATTCCAGACCATTGCCCATAAAAGGGGGGTTGTCTAAATTTATTTGCAAAATATAGATTACCTGTGTTTTATGACCTCTAGGAATGGTTGTACAGCCTCTCATTGGCTTGTTTCAGTATTTCTCAGTGGATGTGGTAAAATTCTCACTGATGTTTCTGGTGGAAGTGAGCGAGGGCAGGTAAGAGAGATGTGCTATTTTTTCAGACATATAGGAGAGGGATGGTTAAGGGAGGCAAGTAGACTACAAAGAAAATTAACTGATTTAAGTAAAGAGTTGATGTGGAATAGAAGCAGGTGAAGAAGAAAATGAAAGCAAGGTAGAGTTGTTAGACTGTGGAAATCGAGACAGAGGATGGCATTGTATTTATTACCTGTGTCATCTGCTTATAATTGTTTTCTTCAGTGTGCTCAAAAGAAATAAAACTATGAAGATTAGAAAAGGAATCTTTTTCCTCTTGATAAATTTTAGAGTTAAAAGAAGCATATACTCAGCTCCATGTTCTGTTGTATTCAACAGATCTAAAGCATTGCTCTCTCTAAACTGAAATGTACTGTGTGATCCACACTCTCCATGGAGTCTTCAATACTTGTGTGTCTTTTGGTAGAAGGAGTGAGAGCGGGGCTGGGCATTGGCCATGATGGTGCTGAGTAAATCCCTGGACAATAGCACTTGCTGGCATTGTTGGCTATCTTAAAGAAATCACATTGGCAGAATAGCAAGTAGGTAAATTATGAAGAAATTGTCCATTTCCTTTAAAAAGTTTATTTTACTAATTAAGGTATTGTAAGCACATTGCAAGCACATATGTAAATGTCACAACATAGGCCCCTATACAACTATTATATGCTAATAAAAAATTTTTAAGTTGACTTTAAAAGAAAATGGGTGTTTTACCATTTTTTGGAACTTTTTTTTACCCAATTTAAAATTTATTTTGAAATGATATTTGAGTTTTAATTCAGTGATTTCCTAGGAACTAATAAAAATACTCAATGGAATATCAGTTTCCTTTAGTTATTTCATAAAATTAAGTACCAACAATGTACATTATAGGAAAGAAAACTATACAAAAAGAAATTGTAATTATTATAAACAGAAATCATACTCTTCTTGATGAGGTTTAAAGGACATGTTTAGGAGTTATTTAATATATGTAACAAAATAAAAAGAAGTTGAGATTATTTTGGTTTTGTTAAATAAAATCCATATGTAATTTTGTCATTAAATATTTATGCCAGTGTATTTAGAGTAAAGTGTTAATGATTGCTACTTAGTTCATTTCTATCCTTAACCATTTTCTGCTTTTTTTATTTTTTGCAAATTTGAAAACCATTTGTAATGAAAATTTTAAGGAAAAAAAACTAAAGATAGTAAGTATCACCCAACCTCAACAGTTTCACTGGGTGATTCTTTTCATCTTGTGAATTTGTTTTTAGGTTAAAATTATTTCACAATGCTCTGTGATTAATATGTTTCAAAATAAAAAGATCTTACAAATTTGGTTGACTAGATGAAACCTTTTGTTCCCCTAAGAAAAACAATTACTTTGTATTGCAGATAACTTTATTTGGGAAAGATCCTTTGACTGTTTCCCAGGTTTATATGATTTGTGAGGTGGGCAATGTGAAAATATAATCATTTTCTGTTTTTTCATCACTTATTAAAGACAAAGATTATTATACAGCCTTAACTTAAATACTTGTTTAAATTCAGCAATAACAACCAGACCTATACATATGTATATCTACATATGGGATCTTACCTTTACTTTTTCTTCTTGTCTGGGAGACTGGTGCGCTAAGGAAATATATCCTGCTGCTTCTACACCATTAGAAAAAGTTGGTCATATGATTGCATTTCGCTTTGTTTTAACCTTTGCACCCAGTGAACAAGTGATTAAAAAAAGAGCTGAGCTTCCTTAGCAAAAGATTGACTAGAATAATTTCTTAAAGTCATCTCTGACTTGTTTAGTGTAACAAGTAAGGTGGCTTGTTTAACTTTGTGTTTCTTAATTACTCTAAAAATATTTCAGAATGTTAACAATTTTACTCTGAGAATACATTCTTTAGAAAGACATATCATTTCTAAAGTAATATATGTGTTAGTCATAAAGGTATTTTGTATATAG